AACAAAGCCATCACCTACAGAGAGATGAACTTGGAGAAGAGTTCCCTAAGTAAGCTGGTCCTGGGGCTCTGTTCACAAACACAAACAGACCCCACAGAGCCCCAGGACAGCAACACAATTAGACAATTAAAGATAATTACATGACAAAAAGATAATTACTTGACACATTGGAAAGAATTATCAAAAAAACAGAGCAAACTAGAATGCTATTTGGCCCTAAACAGAGACCTCTTTCATGTCTTCATTCCTTCTCTCTGCCACACGAGGGCAGTGCTCCCGTTTGCGTCCGTTTGCGTTCTCTCTCAGTGACAGGAAAGGTCTCCTGGGTATGGTTCACTTCACTCCCTCGTGCTCCACATCATCTGGTGACCCATGCCCATTGCAAGTTTACAAGAAGTCCTCCATTACTTTATAGAAAATTCCAGAGTAATCATTCCAAATAAAACCCATCAGTTATGACATGTTAATGTTTACCAAGGTTTCTTATGAAAATCACCTTTCGATAGCGTTCTGCTATGCACTGTTTACGATAGAGCACAGGTATTCCCGAAGTACAAACAATTCCGTTTCAATATATTTATCAAACAATTCACTTTTGATCTAAACTGTATCCTAAAGGAGTTTCCCTATACAATCATCGTGTATGTGTGTGAGTGAGAAGTGACTCATAGTCCTTCAGTCATTTTCATGTAAGGATATCATCCCCAGCTCATCAACCCATCACTAATAACAATGCAGTACTAAAACTCCCATAACACACTCATATCAGTCCACGTCACTTAAAAACAGTAGTGAAACTTTCTAAACTGAATTTCCTTTTATCTAATACCCACTTTAAAAAAAAAGTTATTGTGATACACTGCGATGTCATTTCAGTATTATGCCGCGTTCACGTGCTAGACGTAATTAGGAAACTCAGACATTTCCGACTTGCTAACTGGTTGTCGTTATACACGTGTCGCGTTCAACCAGTTAGCAAGTCCGACATTTCTGAGCTTCCTAGTTCTGACTAGTACGTTATCGGGGCATTACATTCATTATTTATATATTCGTGTATTATTTATAGTAATTTATTCTTTATTTAATAAAACATACTTTTGGCATCTCTTGACTGGTGAGTTGACTCACATTCTTCTCTTTTAGCTCTGTATTGCTACATTTACATTTACATTTACGTCATTTAGCAGACGCTCTTATACAGAGCGACTTACAAATTGGTTACTTGACAATAGCTCACAGAGTGGAAAGATGGTTTATTTATTTACAGGGAGGGAGAGGTTCTCCCTACTGGCCCTCATGCTTCAATACAATTTAAAACACTAAGGCAGCGTTTACACCAGCAGATCATTTCACAGCAGATCATTTCACATCAGATCATTTCACAGCAGATCATTTCACAGCAGATCATTTCACAGCAGATCATTTCACAGCAGATCATTTCACAGCAGATCATTTCACAGCAGATCATTTCACAGCAGATCATTTCACAGCAGATCATTTCACAGCAGATCATTTCACAGCAGATCATTTCACAGCAGATCATTTCAGATCATTCCATCAGATCATTTCACATCAGATCATTTCACATCAGATCATTTCACAAGCAGATCATTTCACAGCAGATCATTTCACAGCAGATCATTTCACAGCAGATCATTTCACAGCAGATCATTTCACAGCAGATCATTTCACAGCAGATCATTTCACAGCAGATCATTTCACAGCAGATCATTCCACAGCAGATCATTTCACACAGATCATTTCACAGCAATCATTTCACAGCAAATCATTTCACAGGCAGATCATTTCACATCAGATCATTTCAACAGCAGATCATTTCACAGCAGATCATTTCACAGCAGATCATTTCACAGCAGATCATTTCACATCAGATCATTTCACAGCAGAATCATTTCACAGCAGATCATTTCACAGCAGATCATTTCACAGCAGATCATTTCACAGCAGATCATTTCACAGCAGATCATTTCACATCAGATCATTTCACATCAGATCATTTCACAGCAGATCATTTCACAGCAGATCATTTCACATCAGATCATTTCACAGCAGATCATTTCACAGCAGATCATTTCACAGCAGATCATTTCACATCAGATCATTTCACATCAGATCATTTCACATCAGATATTTTTCTGAGCTGATCTGATTGGTAGTGAAAAAAATATCAGAATTGAGCTGCCTGTCTAAAGGAACTATGGAGGCAATTAAATCTAGAAACAACCCCTAGTCCCTACCTACACTTGTGGAAATTTGAGAGGATTTGCTGCATTATGATAATAATTCCACCTTGTTCTCCAATTGGTTATGTGGGATTTTCACAATATTGCTTATACCTCCAATTCTTTCAGAACTACACAACTCACTCAACACAGTGCTTTAGAATTCAACCTATCATAAGGCAATCAGAGAACACTTCTTCTTCTTCTTCTTCTTTGTGTGGCTTTCCGGCAGACTAGACGCTATGTCGGGTTTTGCTGCCTTTCACAGTTTGGAAAGTGCATAGCGCATTTGTTCACAAAATAAAGGGAAATGGGAAATAGGAAAAAAAGGAAATTGCACCGCCATCTAAATACACTGAGTGTACAAAACATTAAGGACATCTTTCTTAATATTGAGTTGCACGACCCACTTTTGCCCTCAGAACAGGCTCAATTCATCGGGGCATGGACTCTACAAGGTGTCGAAAGCATTCCACAGGGATGCTGGCCCATGTTGACTCCAATGCTTCCCACAGTTGTGTCAAGTTTGCTGGATGTCCTTTGGGTGGTGGACCATTCTTGATACACACGTGAAACTGTTGAGCGTGAAAAACCCAGCAGTGTTGCAGTTCTTGACACACTCAAACCGGTGTGTCTGGCACCTACTATCATACCCCGTTTAAAGGCACGTCAATATTTTGACTTGCCCATTCACCCTCTGAATGGCACACATACACAATCCATGTCTCAATTGTCTCAAGGCTTAAAAATCCTTCTTTAACCTGTCTCCTTCCCTTCATCTACACTGATTGAAGTGGATTTAACAAGTGACATCAATAAGGGATCATAGCTTTCACCTGGATTCACCTGGTCAGTCTATCATGGGAATGTTTTGTAAACTCAGTGTATATGCAGATGGTGTAATTACAATGTAGTTACACATTTTGCCTTTTTATCAACAGCCAATACAACCATGGTCTCTCAGTGAACACAATCTGTGAACTGTCCTGAGCTACAAGACATTACTGCCTTCTAGGGGCCAGAATGAAAATAACACGTATGGCAGTTGAGCTATTGCGGGATATTGTATCTCATTAACATTAATCTAATCATATATGCACCAAATTAATATTGATTAACTATATTGACTATTGGCCTCATGATTGTCTGAACTCCAGTCCTAGTGTCTTCTGTATTGGAGCAGGGTTTATAGACCAGTAATAAATAAAAATAAATAAGAAAAGGGTCAAAGGGAAACTTCAAATTTGTTTTACTTAATATTTATCATCTCCAGCACCACCCCAACATATATGAAAACAGCACGTGTTTCCGAGGACAACATCTGGTGTGTATCATATGATTTTAATCAACTATGACCTTTGGTTATTTTTGCCTACTCATAGTTGGATAATAAAATCACGTGACCCACACCAGATGATGTCATCTTAAACACTTATCTTCCTCTATCTTTTTTACTGCAAAACATAGAAACACACCTTTTTCACATATGTTGTTGTTGGGGTGCTGCTGGAGATCATGAATATGAAGTTGAGAAATTTCGAAATTTTCCTTTAAAGCCTGGATCCACAGTTGCTTTTCACAACAGAAGCCGCCCCCCTGCTTGTGTTGTGAGAGTTTGAATGAAAACATGGGGGTGTGGCCCAGCCACAGCCGCTGGCCTTGGGGAAAGGTGTGTATTTCTGCTAAATCCCACCCACTCAAACGACCTTCCTTGTGCCTTTACACTGAATGTACAAAACATTAAGAACATCTTTCTAACATTGAGTTATTATTATTATTATAGGTGTCGAAAGCGTTCCACAGGGATGCTGGCCCATGTTGACTCCAATGCTTCCTACAGTTGTGTCAAGTCGGCTGGATGTCCTTTGGGTGGGGGACCATTCTTGATACACACGGGAAACTGTTGAGCGTGAAAAACCCAGCAGTGTTTCAATTCTTGAAACAAACTGGTGCACCTGGCACCTACTACCATACCCTGTTCAAAGACACTTCAATCTTTTGTCTTGCCCATTCACCCTCTGAAAGGCACACATACACAATCCATGTCTCAATTGTCTCAAGACTTAAAAATCCTTCTTTAACCTGTCTCCTCCCCTTCATCTACACTGATTGAAGTGAATTTAACAAGTGACATCAATAAGGGATACTAGCTTTCACCTGGATTCACCTGGTCAGTCTGTCATGGAAAAAGCAGGTGTTCTTAATGTTTTGTATACTCAGTGTATAATCAAGTTAGCATGCTAGCTACTTGCTAGAATTGGTTGAAAATGTCAGGGGGATGGGGTCATGACAGTCACAGAAACAGGAAATAGTACTCTTTCTTGCCTCAAGACTAAAACACAGTATCATGCAACACAACATTAGCATGGATGGAATCACTAGGGGAAACAGACGTTTTTCTCAACATTTATTTTCAGATGTAGTAATCATCAGAGCACCGTTACTTTAATGTGATGCAATGAGGTTTACGTTTGGAGTTACATTGACAAATATTCTCAAAGAGAAAGCCATTTCACTGTACTTGTGCACCATTCAAAACTTGAAACTTGCGCTTGTAGCAAACAGCAGAAACACATGAGTGAGTGTAAAGGAAACAAGAAAGTAAACAACAATGATAGTGTACCACACCATATAAACACTTATATTCACTGCTCTAATTACGTTGGTAACCAGTTTATAATAGCAATAAGGCACCTCGGGGGTTTATGATATATGGCCAATATACCACGGCTAAGGGCTGTATCCAGGCGCTCCGCGTTGTGTCGTGCATAAGAACAGCCCTTAGCCGTGGTATATTGGCCATATTTCACACCCCCTCTGACCTTATTGCTTAAATATAATCTGACCACTTTGGTATTTTAGCTGCTAATTATTCTTATCAGAGTAATACATTTAACATTGCTCAGCTAAACCAATTAGTACTGAATTATCTTGTACAATTAGATACGCATAATATTGGCACAGGCTTGTTAAAATAAAATATAACCTTTAAAAAATATATATATTGATTTAAAATCAAAATCTAATCAATGCTGCACATTGTACCTTTAAGGGCATTTTCAGCTCGACTAAGTTATAATATCAATTATAGGAAAACGTATGGAAAAATATATACTTTCTTGCTCATAAAAATATAGAAAAGGAACAGCTTTTAGGATATGAGGTTCTCATATCATAACATGTGACAACAGTTGCACTGAAAAAATGGATGGCATGGCATGCAGAATTGCTGATTGTGGTGCATGCATAGACAGAGATAGGCAGAATGGCATATATTATTATAATTATTATATTATAGGCCAGTCAGTAAATGGGTATATTTGTGAGTGTTGGAGATCCTGTAGAGAGCTGACATGGTCCGTCTAGTCACTCCCTCCACACAGCTTTAACAGCAGTTTCTTATAGTCCCCTGAGGTGTCTCCCTGTCATAGACAACAACAACAACACAAACACATCAACAAACTAGTCCAGAACATCATACTGGAATACCTAACCTGCTCTGTAGCAGTAGCATTATTGGGTGGTGATGAGGAGAGATACTTACAGAGATGTCTGTGTAGAGCGACTTGCCGTAGTTCTTGACGTATTCCTGACGGATATCCAGCATGTCCACCTCAGAACGCGTCACCATGATCCGAATCAGGGTTTTGTCCTTGGTCCCGGCCCCCTGAAAACACGAACACACACAGGTCAGGCAGGACCGAAGCACTTTTTTGAAGAGTACAGTTATCAGAAGCAATTACTGTAATAACTATGTAATTTCATTGGGACTGGGAAAGTAAAAATGTAATGAACTTAAACAGAGTGCACGTTTCAGTCATGGACAGTTCTGTTGGACTGTGCTCTATGTACAGTATGTTGTAATCAGCCCAGACAGACAGATCGAAACGGGGCGTGTCTTACCTTCATGGACTTGTAGAGTCTCTCCGCGAAGTAGGCAGGTGTGTTCTTAATACACTTGACTGGAACACGGAGAGAGCAGAGGGTTAGAACGCCCAGCGTGTACTATTCACCCTCCTGAACCTTAGACTAGTAATAGCTATATGGAGGGAGGGACTGATAACACCAGTCAGTTAGTGCTAGCATGCCAACTCCTTGTCAGTCATTGTCATGGCTAACGTTTGGGTTGACGATGAAAGCAATGGAGTTGGCAAGAGCACAAACAGATCCGAGACAAGGTGACTGATATCGTGAGGGGAGGGAAACTCTCAAACACAAGCAAAACTGTTTAAAACGATAGGAAGGGATTAAACTGAAAATATTGTATATAAAGTCCTATCTGAAACCTGAACATGAGAGTTGAAGAAAACAGAGAATATATGACTATAGTTTGAGGGGTGAAATACATTTTCAAAACATCACATCAACATGACTTCTGTATGGACAAACATCATGCGTAATGGAAGAAGCAAACACACCACACCACATCATCACAAGTGTGTATGGGTGAGATATTCTCTTGATACACAGTCAGATAACAATGTCATCCAGTCAAATGAAACTAAAAGCATGTTACTGTACCATTAACCTGAGCAATGATAGCCAAGTGGGGGAAAACACAACAACAATTACAAATTCAGGCAGCAACAGTGTGGCAACACATATTGTTAAAGGATCTTCTATAACATTTTTCAACAATAACAATGAGTAAGTTATGGGTGTTAACCAATGATGTATATAATCCCTGGATTGCTGATGCTATGTATTGACCATTGAGAGGCTTTGAAGCCACTGGTCGGCCATATTGACACTCCCCAGTAGGAGCAGTCCTCCATAGGAATTAATGGAATTATACAGTATTTCAGTTATATGTAAGTATTTCATATATTTAAGTATTTCATTCTTGTAGTGGGGACAGTAATGTTAATAATCTGTAGAAAATATACTTTAAGAAAACTGTTTTTATATATTATTATGTTTAACTCACATAATATAATTTTTAAGTATGTATTAAGGCAGGGGTAGGCAACTAGATTCAGCCGCAGGACGATTTTTGTCAGAGCGGATGGTCGGGGGGCCAGAACATAATTATTAGAATTTGTACACTACAAATTTACCACAACTAAGCCCAAAAATAGATAATTTTCATATACAATAATTTCATACCTTGATTACATTGAGACACAATCACGTCTCTTATGTTTGGGAACAGATTTCAATTTTTTGCTGAATTCCTGGTGATTTTACAGTCTTTGAACCAAAAACAATTTTTGGAGGCCCAAAAAAATCATTTTCCTGTATGAGTGAAACGCACAAATATAATATCCCCAAGACATGCTAACCTCTCACCATTACAATAACAGGGGAGGTTAGCATTTTATATTATACCCCTAAGACATGCTAACCTCTCACCATTACAATAACAGGGGAGGTTAGCATTTTATATTATACCCCTAAGACATGCTAACCTCTCACCATTACAATAACAGGGGAGGTTAGCATTTTATATTATACCCCTAAGACATGCTAACCTCTCACCATTACAATAACAGGGGAGGTTAGCATTTTATATCATACCCCTAAGACATGCTAACCTCTCACCATTACAATAACAGGGGAGGTTAGCATTTGTGATATTTATGCCTCTAACTTTCTCACTCATCATTATTCACAATTACTTCAGGATTATCTGTAATCATGGTAGCATCCACATTCATCTAGAAGTGTTGAGAAACATATTATATTCTTATTTACAATAAAAGTGTCTCCAAAATGACACAATACATTATTTACCATTCATTTCTATTGGGCACAAAATAATCTGAAACACAACCAAAACAAACAGCAAATGCATCTAACAAGTTTGTAGAGTCACAAACTTGATGTAATCCTTGCGTGCTAGGAATATGGGACCAAATACTCAATTTTGGACTACTTTAATATGCATAAGTGAATTTGTCCCAATACTTTTGATCCCCTGAAAATGCCTTCAAATGAAAGCTGACAGTTTGTACTTTAACTTCATAGTCATTGTATCATTTCAAATCCAAAGTCCTGGAGTAGAGCCAAAACTATGATTTTGAATGGGAATCAATTTTTGGTCCCCCAAAAAGTCCTCACAAGTATAGTAAGACATAGCTGTGTATGTGTGTGTGTGAGTGGGTGGTGTGCGTTGTTATGGGTGTTACATAGTGTTAGTTTGTGCTTGTGTAGAAACGTGTAGGTGTGACACCGGATAGACCTGTATAGGTGTGGCAGTGCACGAGTGTGTTAACCAAAAGGTTTCCTCTTACCCACGGCCACCATTCCACTCTCCAGGTCTCCAGACATTTCTCTGTCGATGCTCTTCTCTAGGTCTCTGCCACACATCTGCTGGTACTCATGGAACACTACACACACACACACACACACACACACACACACACACACACACGGATAAGGTAGCGGCAAATGATCTAGCTACGAGTCAAGGTGAGTGGAGAGCACCATAGGACTGATATTTCATATACATTAAATTGATATTTCAAATACATTTAATTGATATTTCAAATACATTTAATTGATATTTCACTTCTGTCGTCACAGTACCGTTCCTCTTCCCTGTAGTTACCTGCTCTGAGGTGGGCTTTGCTCCTGGAACACAGGATGGCGTTGAACTTGGACTCATCTGTTCCCACCTTGCTCTCCCCAGCAGCATACAGGGCCTGGACAGAGGGCACACAATACACACAGGCGTCTTTCATTGAGTAGGTAGAGATTTCTAGTATGCCGTGTAGGGTCCTGAGTTTTTCCTGCTCAAATCACGTGGTCATGAAAAACTCCTGGCCCGAAGTATGCTGAAGACATACTACAATATGTAGATTAGACGTCACAAGGTTCGTTATAGATAAGAAATGGCAATTTACCTGGGCATCTTGTTTGGCTACAGAGATGTCCACCGTCTCTCTTTCATCTCGATTACCCTGAGAGCACAAACAAAACACATAATGAATATGTACTGTATGTATTCCTATGTGTATATATATTTAGAATGTATACATTATTCTATATCTATGGGCCACAGGCTGTACCTGGGCCAGAGAGATGAGGAGTCTACGGAAATGTCCTGAGGTGTCCCCACTGATGGCATCTTCCAGAGACTTCTTATTCTCTGAAATAACACACACAGTCCACTTACACAACCAAGTCCAACCGAGGCATGGTGTGTTTCTAAAAGGAAATATACAAATCCCTCAGCATTGTTCACATTACATCCCTGAACAGTGTTTGTATGTAACTCACCTGTCTTGTAGATCTGGTTGATCTCTTTGATCTCTGCGTTGGAGCGAGAGGACAGGATCTCTATCAGACAGGCCTCGTCTGTCCCTGCGCCCTGTCAGAACATACAGCAGAGAATGGTTGGGAGGTTATGACATGGATATTATTATATACCAAGTATGATTTGTCTTTCTCTGTTCCTTAAGCTAGTTTAGCTAGATGATAGTGAAAAAAAACACACAAAACAAAACATTACTCTTGTTTTCATGCACACACACGTTAAGAAGAGGGAATATGTCAGTGATTATAAAAACCCATTCACAAACCTTAATGGCTTCTTTGAGTTCGTATGCATCAAGCTGGGCTGGAGTCTTCAACATGGCCAGCACCAGCTTCTCAAAGTTCCCTGAAAGCTCTGACTTCAGATCCTTAACCAGATCCTGGGAAGGTAAGTGGGTACAAGCTTGGTATAATTCAATGCTATCCAAGCAGTCCTTGAGTTGGGCCGGTGCTCAGCAATACAGCGAACAAGCACCTTGAATTATCTGACTTGAATACAGACACCGTCATTTTCTGTAGTGCTTGAGGACTGGCACCTCTTTTAGAATATTGGCTCTAAAATATGAGTAGTAGTAAGTCTATATAGTATAGTGCAGGGCTCTCCAACCCTGTTCCTAGAGAGCTACCGTCCTGTAGGTTTTCACTCCAACCCTGTTCCTAAAGAGCTACCGTCCTGTAGGTTTTCACTCCAACCCTGTTCCTAGAGAGCTACCGTCCTGTAGGTTTTCACTCCAACCCTGTTCCTAGAGAGCTACCGTCCTGTAGGTTCACACTCCAACCCTGTTCCTAGAGAGCTACCGTTCTGTAGGTTTTTACTCCAACCCTGTTCCTAGAGAGCTACCGTCCTGTAGGTTCACTCCAACCCTGTTCCTAGAGAGCTACCGTCCTGTAGGTTTTCACTCCAACCCTGTTCCTAGAGAGCTACCGTCCTGTAGGTTTTCACTCCAACCCTGTTCCTAGAGAGCTACCGTCCTGTAGGTTCACTCCAACCCTGTTCCTAGAGAGCTACCGTCCTGTAGGTTTTAACTCCAACCCTTATCTAGCACACCTGATTCTAATAATTAGCTGGTTGATAAGCTGGCTAGTTACAACTGGGGTGGGAGCGAAAACCTCCAGGAAGGTGGCTCTCCAGGAACAGGGTTAGAGAGGCCAAATGAGTAGCGGTACTTATTTCAGTCCACTTCAAGCACTGATGCCACGTGTGTTCAACTGCTGTGCCACGTGTGTTCAACTGCTGTGCCACGTGTGTTCAACTGCTGTGCCACGTGTGTTCAACTGCTGTGCCACGTGTGTTCAACTGCTGTGCCACGTGTGTTCAACTGCTGTGCCACGTGTGTTCAACTGCTGTGCCACGTGTGTTCAACTGCTGTGCCACGTGTGTTCAACTGCTGTGCCACGTGTGTTCTGGGTATGGCTGTAGCTAATAAAGCCTGAGTGAATCAGATCCCCCAGGGATGTCGTTTATTGGCAGAACCAATAGCTGCTGTTTAGATATCACTGGCACACACTAGAGAATACACTCTGTCTCTCACTTCAGGGCAACATATTCAGACCATTTTATGATGCTGTAACACTTATTTTCATTGCTCCCTAAAAACTCAAATTAGATAAATAAGGTATCATGTTTTTAAATGATAAGACAACTGTACAGTTGAAGTCGGAAGTTTACATACACCTTAGCCAAATACATTTCAACTCAGTTTCTCACAATTCCTGACATTCCTGACATTAAACATTCCCTGTCTTACGTCAGTTAGGATCACCACTTTATTGTAAGAATGTGAAATGTCAGAATAATAGTAGAGAGAATAATTTATTTCAGCATTTATTTATTTTATCACATTCCCAGTGGGTCAGAAGTTTACATACACTCAATTAGTATTTGGTAGCGTTGCCTTTAAATTGTGTAACTTGGGTCAAACATTTCAGGTAGCCTTCCACAAGCTTCCCACAATAAGTTGGGTGAATTTTGGCCCATTCCTCCTGACAGAGCTGGTGTAACGGAGTCAGGTTTGTAGGCCTCCTTGCTCACACACGCTTTTTCAGTTCTGCCCACAAATATAGGATTGAGGTCAGGGCTTTGTGATGGCCACTCCAATACCTTGACTTTGTTGTCCTTAAGCCATTTTGCCACAACTTTGGAAGTATGCTTGGGGTCATTGTCCATTTGGAAGACCCATTTGCGACCAAGCTTTAACTTCCTGACTGATGTCTTGAGATGTTGCTTCTATATATCCACATCAGTTTCCTTCCTCATGATGCCATCTATTTTGTGAAGTGCACCAGTCCTTCCAGCAGCAAAGCACCTCCACAGCATGATTCTGCCACCCCCGTGCTTCACGGTTGGGATGGTGTTCTTTGGCTTGCAACTACCGCCTTTTTCCTCCAAACAGTTCTAATTTTGTTTCATCAGACCAGAGGACATTTCTCCAAAAAGTACGATCTTTGTCCACATGTGCAGTTGTAAACTGTAGTCTGGCTTTTTTGGAGCAGTGGCTTCTTCCTTGCTGAGTGGCCTTTCAGGTTATGTCGATATAGGACTCGTTTTACCAGCATCTTCACAAGGTCCTTTGCTGTGGTTCTGGGATTGATTTGCACTTTTCGCACCAAAGTACGTTCATCTCTAGGAGACAGAACGCGTCTCCTTCCTGAGCGGTATGACGGCTGCGTGGTCCCATGGTGTTTATACTTGTGTACTATTGTTTGTACAGATGAGCGTGGTACCTTCAGGCATTTGGAAATTGCTCCCAAGGATGAACCAGACTTGTGGAGGTCTACAATTATTTTTCTGAGGTCTTGGCTGATTTCTTTAGATTTTCCCATGATGTCAAGCAAAGAGGCACTGAGTTTGAAGGTAGGCCTTGAAATACATCCACAGGTACACCTCCAATTGACGCAAATTATGTCAATTAGCCTATCAGAAGCTTCTAAAGCCATGACATCATTTTCTGGAATTTTCCAAGCTATTTAAAGGCACAGTCAACTTAGTGTACGTAAACTTCTGACCCACTGGAATTGTGATACAGTGAATTATAAGTGAAATAATCTGTCTCTAAACAATTGTTGGAAAAATGACTTGTGTCATGGACAAAGTAGATGTCCTAACCGATTTGCCAAAACTATAGTTTGTTAACAAAACATTTGTGGGAGTGGTTGAAAAACAAGTTTTAATGACTCCAACCTAAGTGTATGTAAACCTCCGACTTCAACTGTATGGTCATAATCACTGTATTGTCTTTCTATAATAAAAAATAAGCTATAAGAAAATGTACATTGTACTAACGTAGTATAATGTAATTATGATTGTATTAGCTACCTTTCCGTAGGAGGTTTTGAAGGCCATGAGCATGGGAACACGCTGTCTGTTGGAGCGACTTCCTAGCAGGTCTATGATGGCCTGTTCATCAGTACCTGTAGGACAAGTCCACTGTCAGAACACATTATTCAAAACAGCCCATCCATTTCCCTTGGATTTATAACATCATTGTTTTAGTAGTATAGCTGAGCAAACATCACCAGATTTTTATACATAATTAAGTAATTCAAAGATCGAGGATCAATGATAGAAGGCAACATAACTGCTAGTGTTGATTATACCTATGCAAACCATTCAGATGTCCAGTGTGTATTGTATAAGGGACTGGCAAGGGCTTGTTTCAGAACAGGGTCTATTCTCTCATGACAGCTGGCCATTACGCATGCAATATTTGTTTCTGGTTCCAATATTAGATTGGGTCTAACTCACTCACTAGACCCCTATATAAGGGGCTAGGGGTTGTTTCTGAACGGGGTCTAACTGGCCGTGTCCGAATACCCATACTTGCATCCTAAATAGTAGGCCGTTTGAGTATGCAAATTTTTTTTTTTATAGTATGTATTTAGAACATTTTGTATACTTTAAATGCCCAGATGTCATACTCATTTTGGCTTTGACAACAGCTGATAATCAGATATGGATGTGCTACCGAAATCAACCAATAATGCAAAACAACGCAATTGCGCATTCTCAGTATGCGAAAATACACTGCTCAAAAAAATAAAGGGAACACTAAAATAACACATCCTAGATCTGAATGAATGAAATAATCTTATTAAATACTTTTTTCTTTACATAGTTGAATGTGCTGACAACAAAATCACACTAAGATTATCAATGGAAATCAAATTTATCAACCCATGGAGGTCTGGATTTGGAGTCACCCTCAAAATTTAAGTGGAAAACCACACTACAGGCTGATCCAACTTTGATGTAATGTCCTTAAAACAAGTCAAAATGAGGCTCAGTAGTGTGTGGCCTCCACGTGCCTGTATGACCTCCCTACAACGCCTGGGCATGCTCTTGATGAGGTGGCGGATGGTCTCCTGAGGGATCTCCTCCCAGACCTGGACTAAAGCATCCGCCAACTCCTGGACAGTCTGTGGTGCAACGTGGCGTTGGTGGATGGAGCGAGACATGATGTCCCAGATGTGCTCAATTGGATTCAGGTCTGGGGAACGGGCGGGCCAGTCCATAGCATCAATGCCTTCCTCTTGCAGGAACTGCTGACACACTCCAGCCACATGAGGTCTAGCATTGTCTTGCATTAGGAGGAACCCAGGGCCAACCGCATCAGCATATGGTCTCACAAGGGGTCTGAGGATCTCATCTCGGTACCTAATGGCAGTCAGGCTACCTCTGGCGAGCACATGGAGGGCTGTGCGGCCCCCCAAAGAAATGCCACCCCACACCATGACTGACCCACCGCCAAACCGGTCATGCTGGAGGATGTTGCAGGCAGCAGAACGTTCTCCACGGCGTCTCCAGACTTTGTCACATGTGCTCAGTGTGAACCTGCTTCATCTGTGAAGAGCACAGGGCGCCAGTGGCGAATTTGCCAATCTTGGTGTTCTCTGGCAAATGCCAAACGTCCTGCACGGTGTTGGGCTGTAAGCACAACCCCCACCTGTGGACGTCGGGCCCTCATACCACCCTCATGGAGTCTGTTTCTGACCGTTTGAGCAGACACATGCACATTTGTGGCCTGCTGGAGGTCATTTTGCAGGGCTCTGGCAGTGCTCCTCCTGCTCCTCCTTGCACAAAGGTGGAGGTAGCAGTCCTGCTGCTGGGTTGTTGCCCTCCTACGGCCTCCTCCACGTCTCCAGATGTACTGGCCTGTCTCCTGGTAGCGCCTCCAAGCTCTGGACACTAAGCTGACAGACACAGCAAACCTTCTTGCCACAGCTCGCATTGATGTGCCATCCTGGATGAGCTGCACTACCTGAGCCACTTGTGTGGGTTGTAGACTCCGTCTCATGCTACCACTAGAGTGAAAGCACCGCCACCATTCAAAAGTGACCAAAAACATCAGCCAGGAAGCATAGGAACTGAGAAGTGGTCTGTGGTCACCACCTGCAAAACCAGTCCTTTATTGGGGGTGTCTTGCTAATTGCCTATAATTTCCACCTGTTGTCTATTCCATTTGCACAACAGCATGTGAAATGTATTGTCAATCAGTGTTGCTTCCTAAGTGGACAGTTTGATTTCACAGAAGTGTGATTGACTTGGAGTTACATTGTGTTGTTTAAGTGTTCCCTTTATTTTTTTGAGCAGTGTATAACATTTTAAAGTAAGTGAATTTTCGAAAATTGAGTATGGTTTAAATGCCAGGATGTTATACTCATTTCGGAGCTTCATCTAGTAGAATTTGATGCACACTATTCCACAATGCATTGGAAGAGGTGGGCTGCGAGTGATAGGCCCTAGTTCTCTTCAAGTAGCAAAACAACTAAACTGGGCTACTTAAAACCCGTTCCTGCAGTGGAATGAACAAATCGACCTTGTGGCCTCATGGGTGGAATGTTCAAAATATTTTTCATAAATTAATAATTAATAAACATTATTTTAAAAAACCTGCCAGAAATCCGGTGTTTCTATGTCAAACGGTTTTGTTATATTTCAGTCTTCTGTGATGTATATAAAGTGTAATATTGGGATGCAAACTCAAAATTGAATACATTTCAACTCTATATCAGACATGGTATAGCTGTTCGTTTTTTTTTTTAAAGCCAATAACCATGTGCGTGAGGTGTATACTTTTGTTTCAAAGTAGACTTGTTTAAGACTATCAAGAAACACTGAGTGACGCTGATTTAGACCACTGCAGTAAAAGGATAATTGGGAAGATGCCAAATAGCAAAACTTCTGAGGTGGTGTTCAAATGTAGGCTAAGTAGTTTTTGTTCTCCATAAAATGATCACGAGTATTGCATCGTAGGCTTCATCTTTGAAAACAGAAAAAAACAGATTTTTTTAAAAAAGTGGATTTCTGTTTTCTCATTGGAAAGTGTTTCTTGTTCTCTTGGTTTTCGTCTGAGCTTTTAAACTAAATACTAAAACCATCTTTTGATTTTTTAATGTGTCGGCACCGGGGACTCGGGATGCGGCTGCGTTATTGATGTCATGTTAATCAGGCCTTCGGATTTGAACATATTCATTGTTTTAGTTTTGTAGGCTAGGCTACCTATTTAAAGCTGCAATATGTAACTTTTAGGGTGACCCAACCAAATTCACATGGAAATGTGAGTTATAGATCTGCCTTTTGCATTGAAAGCAAGTCTAAGAAGCAGTAAATCTGTTTTATGTGTGATATTTCTATGCTTCCCGTTCTTACTTTTCGTTTATGTCTTTTACTTTCAGTTTTGTACACCAGCTTCAAACAGCTGAACATACAATATTTTTGGTTATGGAAAATATATTTCACAGCGGTTTGGATGGTTCAATGATTCTCTACACTCTGAGTGCTTGTTTTGTCACAAACTGAAATTAGGCAAAATTATTAGAATTTTAGCAACCAGGAAATGGGGGGTGATTTCTGCATATTGCACCTTTAATTATTCAATTTATGGATCAAGCCTTAGCAGTCATTCTGATCTCCTTCCAAATGATCAGTGCTTTAGTTTATTATGTTGCTGTCCAGCGGTTCTGAATTTGCGATGCACCCGACTGTCCACGTTTTTCTGTGCAATAGCCTATAGATTTGAACATTTGAAAAGTTTTGCTGTGTACTAGGCTATTTTATGTCATTTATATGTTACAGCACTTTGGTTTCACTAATAGATAACTTTTTCCTGTTTCTCCAGTTTTGGCTTTTGTGTCCAGCACCTTCACAAATCAGCTCTGGGTATATTCTACCTATTAACTAATAAATATGTTGAAATGGAACCAAATGATCTGTTTCTGGTTCAGTCCTTTTTAAATAGCATAGATGGGCTATATGGGCTACGGTATAGGGTGAACGTGATAGTCTGCCTCTAACCAGCCTGAGTAGACCTACAACTCCATTCCTATTCTGTTCAGAGTTTAGAGAAATTAATTGAATGGGAATTGAGCTATTATCAGTACATAGTATGCAGTTTAAGTATGTAGTACACTAGAATGGGTATTCGGACACAGCCTCTCACTCACTCGACCCCTATATAAGGGTATGGGGCTGTTTCTGAACAGGGTTTAACTCACTCACTATACCCCTAGACTGTATAAGGGATGTTTCTGGACTGGACCTATGTAACCAACTCACCAAAGCCCTTCATGGCTTTCCTCAGAACCTCCACATCTCTCAGTGGGTCCGCTCCCGGATAATCCTTGATGCTTCCCCGGAATCCTCTCTGGAAGAACAGGGAAGAAGAGGGCATTTTCCAGATCGCTTTACCCTTTCAGTGTCATTTGCCAGTAAAACTCCTGTCAAATCTCTTATCATTATCTCAAGAAGAAACAGAAAACTATAGAAACACTATCACTATTAGTGCAGAACACTCAGGTTTCCAAGTTGAAACCCATGGATGAAGTATGGACACTTAACAGGACATATACCTGTCCTAAATGGTATTTTGAAGGACTATTGTCACAATAGGGTTAAATCTTCCCAGTGTCTCTTACATTGATGGCAGGTGCGACGGGTATGGCTCCTCCTCCGTATCCTGGCATGGACGGGTTGGGCGACGGGGCTTGAGGGTACCCTGGCATGGGCTGGTTAGGCGCTGGCCCTCCTCCGTATCCTGGCATGGAGGGGTTGGGTGAGGGTGCCTGTGGGTAGCCAGGCATGGGCTGGCCTGGGTAGCCCATGCCTGGGCCTTGAGTCTGGGGCATCTGCCCTCCTGGCTGTGGGTACAGGCATTGGGGCTGTTGGTTAGGGGGCTGGGGGGCATGTTGGGGGTACCCACCAGGGGTGAACATGGCGGGGTTGGGGTTAAAGCCCCCCATGGCTGCTGAGATCTGGTTGGCCTGTGATTGGAGGAGGAGAAATGAGCATCCAATAAAATGTGCACAGACAGGACGCTGATTGGTTTCAACTAATATGCATGCTAAGCTGTTTTGTAGATGATCAATAATGTATTATAGATAATACAGCATCTGCTGTTGTGTTTTGATTACAGAGAAAATAAAAGATAATGCAACATAAAGAAATTATACAAAACATGGAGTTTTGAAGGATTACAACAGTGAAATAAGAGGTTGCAGAAAATTATTACATTTTTGAAGCACTATCTTAGCTAATTACGAGCCACATTCTTTTCGTCATGCAAGAGATTTTGAAGAAAGGTTTACAAGAAAGCTGCAACACAGATCGAAGATTAAAAGATGATAATTTTTTATAAAAGTCTTACCAGTCAATAATTGGGATGTGATTTCCAATATTGGCCATGCAATTCATGCTAACTGAAATATTTAACGCAATCATCTGAAGGGGATGAAGTACAAGCATGTTGAGAATATTCTCTGTGTAATTCGGGGGGGATGGGTGTATTTTCATGCCAGACTTACCATGGCTGGAAGATTGCCTGCGTTGAATCCAGGGTTGGACAGATTATCAACACCTATGGTGGGGAAACCAGCACCACCTCCCCAACTACCTGCAACAGATGACATAGATGGGTGTATACAGTGAGGGAAACAGGTATTTGATCCCCTGCTGATTTTGTACGTTTGCCCACTGACAAAGACATTACATTTACATTTTAGTCATTTAGCAGACGCTCTTATCCAGAGCGACTTACAGTGCATACATTTTTTTTTTTTCATACCCCCTGTGGGAAACGAACCCACAACCCTGGCGTTGCAAACACCATGCTCTATCAACTGAGCTACATCCCTGCCGGCCATTCCCTCCCCTACCCTGGACGACGCTGGGCAAATTGCGCGCCGCCCCATGGGTCTCCCGGTCGCGGCCGGCTACGACAGAGCCTGGATTCGAACCAGGATCTCTAGTGGCACAGCTAGCACTGTGGGGAGACTGATCAGTAGGGTAGGTTTATTTGAACAGTGAGAGACAGAATAACAACAAAAAAATCCAGAAAAACGCGTGTCAAAAATGTTATAAATTGATTTGCATTTTAATGAGGGAAATAAGTATTTGACCCCTCTGCAAAACATGACTTAGTACTTGGTGGCAATACCCTTGTTGGCAATCACAGAGGTCAGACGTTTCTTGTAGTTGGCCACCAGGTTTGCACACTTCTCAGGAGGGATTTTGTCCCACTCCTCTTCGCAGATCTTCTCCAAGTCATTAAGGTTTTGAGGCTGACGTTTGGCAACTCGAACCTTCAGCTCCCTCCACAGATTTTCTATGGGATTAAGGTCTGGAGACTGGCTAGGCCACTCCAGGAACTTAATGTGCTTCTTCTTGAGCCACTCCTTTGTTGCCTTGGCCGTGTGTTTTGGGTCATTGTCATGCTGGAATACCCATCCACGACCCATTTTCAATGCCCTGGCTGAGGGAAGGAGGTTCTCACCCAAGATTTGACGGTACATGGCCCTGTCCATCGTCCCTTTAATGCGGTGAAGTTGTTCTGTCCCCTTAGCAGAAAAACACCCCCAAAGCATAATGTTTCCACCTCCATGTTTGATGGTGGGGATGGTGTTCTTGGGGTCATAGGCTGCATTCCTCCTCCTCCAAACACGGCGAGTTGAGTTGATGCCAAAGAGCTCGATTTTGGTCTCATCTGACCACAACACTTTCACCCAGTTCTCCTCTGAATCATTCAGATGTTCATTGGCAAACTTCAGATAGGCCTGTATATGTGCTTTCTTGAGCAGGGGGACCTTGCAGGCGCTGCAGGATTTCAGTCCTTCACGGCGTAGTGTGTTACCAATTGTTTTCTTGGTGACTATGGTCCCAGCTGCCTTGAGATGATTGACAAGATCCTCCCGTGTAGTTCTGGGCCGATTCCTCACCGTTCTCATGATCATTGCAACTCCACGAGGTGAGATCTTGCATGGAGCCCCAGGCCAAGGGAGATTGACAGTTATTTTGTGTTTCTTCCATTTGCGAATAATCGCACCAACTGTTGTCACCTTCTCACCAAGCTGCTTAGCGATGGTCTTGTAACACATTCCAGCCTTGTGTAGGTCTACAATATTGTCCCTGACATCCTTGGAGAGCTCTTTGGTCTTGGCCATGGTGGAGAGTTTGGAATCTGATTGATTGATTGCTTCTGTGGACAGGTGTCTTTTATACAGGTAACAAGCTGAGATTAGGAGCACTCCCTTTACGAGTGTGCTCCTAATCTCAGCTCGTTACCTGTATAAAAGCCACCTGGGAGCCAGAAATCTTTCTGATTGAGAGGGGGTCAAATACTTATTTCCCTCATTAAAATGCAAATCAATTTATAACATTTTTGACATGCTATTTTCTGGATTGTTGTTTTGTTATTCTGTCTCTCACTGTTCAAATAAACCGACCATTAAAATTATAGACTGATCATTTCTTTGTCAGTGGGCAAACATACAAAATCAGCAGGGGATCAAATACTTTTTTCCTTCACTGTATGTCACTAAACTGTTTATGGCAAATCACTGACAAACTGATATAGGATTATTATAATAATAATAGTATGTATGTAGTATGTACTGCTTTGATGTTGTGGCTGTTCTGCTTTTAATCAATCAATCAATCAATCAATGTTGTTACCAAAAAAAAAGTGCTGTTTTCAAAACAACATAGAAAGTGCTAAGATTTCATAGAGAGGTTTCAATAAATGTCTGGTGATTGTGCCAGGCTAGAGAGGTAAATACATTGACTTTGGAATGAGACACCAGGACTGGCAATGAACGGTTCACACTTGCCAATATATCTGACTAACCTCGGCTTCTAGTCAGCAGACATGGAATGATTCTCAGGGCACACAGAATTGGAGGACTGTGTCAGACACTAGTTGGTCTGTGAGTGTTGTCTCTCAGCACAGCAGAGGCTGTTTAGAGAACACACATGCCGCACAACATTAAATCTAAACCTCATGATGATCTCTGGCCCTGAGACAAAGGAAGACAGAAGGACTCAGTCTCTGAGCCTGTCAGTCAGTAGCCTGTCCTCTTTTCTTGACCATGTCTTTATGTTTCTGTCCTCAATCTGTCTGTCTGTCTGTCTGTCTGTGCCTCCCTTAGATTACATTACATTTCATATACCTTGTACCTATAAAAAATGTTTTAAGCCAACCATGATCTGTTGAGCTGAGGCCTTACCTGCTGGGGGCATGGCTGGGTACCCTCCAGCTACAGGCTGTGGAGGATAGCCACCAGCCTGAGGGGGGTAACCTCCAGCCTGAGAGGGGTAACCCCCTGCTTGAGGGGGATAGCCGCCTGCCTGGGGTGGGTAACCTCCGGCCTGGGGTGGGTAACCTCCGGCCTGGGGTGGGTAACCTCCGGCCTGGGGTGGGTAACCTCCGGCCTGGGGTGGGTAACCTCCTGCCTGGGGTGGGTAACCTCCGGCCTGGGGTGGGTAACCTCCGGCCTGGGGTGGGTATCCTGGATAGCTCATGGTTTATGGTCTGAAATAATGAAAAATATCAAAATATAAGGCCTGTTTAATGTGTAAATGCATTTTTGTCTGTTCCTGGTTAGGTCATGATGACAGGAACATCTCCTGGCCTTACAGACACACAATATGGCAGTTGGACACACAATCAGTGCCACGCATCTGTTTGTTGTAAAACAAAGTTTTATGACTCAAATTGTGGCGTGAACACATAGGTTGGTGTTGTGGTGTCCATAGCAACTACAGAGCTAGAAACACGCCCATATACACAGTGGGCCCCTCCACCCTCAATGGAGCTACGCTGAAGAGGAGAAACAAGGCTGAATTCCTCATGATGACCCAAGATTTCAGGAATCTGGGTTCCCTAAGCTGATGGCTTAATTGTTAACATGGGCAATTCATGGGTTGGGTCATACTGTGTGAAATGGAACTACTATGTTCATGAAATTGAGTATTTTCCTGAAATCTAGCGCAAAGAAATGCCATCTGGAAGAAGACATTCATACAGTGTGTCTCTCGAATAGTTATTGAGAAATAATTAAATTAAAATGGGAGAATACCTATTCATATAATTTTAAACAAATAAGAGCCAGTGTTGATGTTATTTAAAGCATTGATGTTAGCGCATTTAAAGCCTTATTTTACACTGAAATACTACATTTCAATGAATCTCCTTTGCTTCTGTTACTTTTGGTGTTGGCAGTAGAACTGCTTGTTATTTGACAATGATTATGCTGCTGTGTGTGAAAACCCCATATGCCATTTTCATAATATGCCAACTTGCTCCATCCATGGTTCCATGGAGGCATTCCCTTCTCATAATTTGCATTTTAATGACAGTGGAAAGAATGACAGACTGCTGCTGTATTTGAATAGGAACACAGTTCTACATCAGGGGCCTGTTCAGAATTATGTAAGGTTAGGCTATAGAATGTTCAGATAGATATGTATGGTGTAGAACAGATATGATTATCTCTAAGATAGAATAGGGACCATGTCAGCAATATTCACTGTGTTCACTGTTAGATGATACAGTATAATATTTATGGATGTAAGGACTACTTCAGTGTTATCACACCATCACCTCCTATTTAATGTACTGTGCATACGTATTAGACTACAGCCTAAAGGCTTCCTCATACATAGATTCGGTTTACTCATTGCAGAACTCGGCTAGGCGAAGTGAACATCTGTCTTCGCATACTCCCTTAAAATACCTTAGCTTGAAAAACGAGAAGAAAAACTGCAATATTACTGATTGTCCCTCTTGAGACGCTGTAGCCAGTCGGCCTGAAGACGAGGTCTTAGTTGCGCAATTTTACATCTAAGACGTTTGGTGCAGTATTTCTTAAGTGATAAACGGTGCATGAAAACTAGTCGTCTGTCGTTAAAGGACAAACACTTAATTGAAGAATCCCTACCAGTCACCGACGAAGGGTCTATAGCAAAGATGTGTATAACTATAGCTAACTGGTTGAACGCGGCACGTGTATATTTATAACTACATCAAGTTAGCAAGTCGAAAATGTCCGAGTGTCCTAGTTCCAACAATACTTGAACGCAACATTAGACAAGCCTCAAGAATAAAATGTGTCTGCTCGAACTTCACAAAATTTCGAAATAATATATTGAACTGTTTCGACTGGGAAGCATACGGGAAAGCCAATGTCCAAACAGCAATCAACCACGCTGTCGGAAAGTAAGAAGTATGAATGATTCTCATCTAACCCATGTACAAAATACTAATTTTAACACAATGTATTTCCCCTTCTATCAGTGGCCTGAGGCCTACATATTTCAACGAAACAATAGTGTCATACTGGAGTGAAATTGTGACTAACGACATCTCATCAACGCAAAAACCACAGCATTTCACCAAGACCCATGCTCGGCCTACTCACCAAAGCCCATATATTTGTAAGTCGCTCTGGATAAGAGCTAGATTACGTAAATGTAAATATAGGCTATTGCTGTATAGTAATCAAACCTCAAATCAGTGACAAATAAAGGCTAACAGAAGAACTAGGCTACCAACTGACACAATCGCTTTGATAGATTACAATGACATGTGGCTCCTTTTCTATTGATAAAATGTGAGGAACGTTACACATTTATACAAACTGTGTATAAATATAAGTAGCCATATGGGCTCCTTGTGTACACCAACACCCATGTTTGCTGGGGGGATGGGAGTGTTCAATACAATACAAATGATCGTTGTTGGCTGTTGAGGCCTTGAACTGGTACAAAAATAGATGGTTTGAAAATAACTTCCGAGTGACTCCAATGTGTATAGGCAGGCCTATCCAGAACTTCAGACAACTCTTTTGCTGTATGTAGTAGACCCCAAAGAGAATTATGTCGTATTTCCATCCACATGATTGGCCTATTGCACAATATTTGAGGAAATAAATAATTGTAGGCAATTAAACATTCTAGGCTACTTTACAGATGTAAAATACAAACTCCTTTTTCTAAATGGCATTTTCAACATTTAATAAATAAGAGAATAGGCCGCCGCTTATAATAACGTTTTCGGAATAGCCTACACTGACTACGTCTACACCAAATGACAGCAAAGCAACTGTCAAGATATACAGAAGGAAGATATTGTGCATTTCATCAGTCAACACCGAAACAATGCAAAAATAAAAATATCAGTACACTTTTGGCCGACTATTAGGCGCCAGATAAACGTTCAATTCGGTATTTCCTAGTTGTAACAGTCAATTCGGTATTTCCTTGTTGTAAAGGTTTTCTGCACTAGTCCTTCTTATCGGAAGAAGAAAAGCCAATTTACCGAAGCTCTGGAAGACCGCCTGTCGCGTTCAGGCAAATTACTCAAACATAATTTCAAATAGGTCTATAACCGTAGGCCTAGCATACTTTATCATGTTCTCTGAGACATTTTGTAATTGCGTAACATATGCTTCGAGGAAGAAGGCTCGCTAGTAAATTAAATATTTCTGAGGAAAGCGACGTGTCTACAAGAAACTGAATTGCGCACGATCGCTACTGGAAATGATTGATCTACATAGCTAGTCACATTCGATTTAACCGAAAAGTGCATTTCGTTTGCTACTTACTTTTGGTTCGCTAGACGCCTCGTCCTGGCGGCGCTGGGCTCTTTTTCAAGCTGTAGACCCTGTATGTATTTAAGGAAGGTGGGTGGGACTCATACTTTCCATTGAGAAACACCCATGAACACAAACAATACAGTAATTGACACACACCACACGGCGGTAACACTCGAGCATTATTGAACGGACAAACGTATGACAGTGACATGTTGGGTGACTCATCGAGTTAGGGAAAACGTGACAGATGATGACAGAATTCGCCTAGTCATAGAGTATGGTGCAATGGATTGAGAATAGCCTATGGTTCTCTATGCCGGCACAATTATACACTCTTAGGCCTACGGTTTTTTCTATTCAACTGGCAACTGTTCATTTGTCTTGAACAATTGCTGTTCATTTTTGTTTACAGGGGGTATCACACTAGCCTATAATGCCCCGCCTATCTTTCATCACAGCAGTCAACAGCTTTGTGAACTGTTTTGTTTACTCTGGAATAGTCATATTTCATTTACAGTGGAATGAGGTTATTCTCAGCTTGTTATTTAGAATAGACCAGGTCAGCTTTTCTTTCATAAATATAAAGATATGTTTATTACAAAAGTATTACAAAGGTTATTAATAAGGCAAAATGTGAAAAGAGACCAGGCCTATACCAGAGATGGAAGAGGAAGCGAGACACCCCACTCGCTGTTTTTTTCTGGTTCAATTGAAGTCAATGAACTAAGCAGACCAGACCCAGCTGCTATCGCATTGGTGTCTAAGGGAGAGCCACCTCGTTAAGCAGAAAGGAAATTACTTTTTTTTCTCCCAATGGTAAACGGCCTGAGTGAACTATCTTCATTTATCCACCATCTTTGCCGATGTCTTATAACCATTACCTTATTCCCCTGTGATGCCCACAAGAGGGAGTGTGAAGATGTGCTGCTGTTTGTTAGGAGGGTCAGGGTTAGTGTCTGTAGACAAGTCAGGGTTAGTCTGTAGACTAGGTCAGCGTTAGTCTCTCTCTCTCTGGATGAACATTCTGCCCATTATCTGCTTTCTTTCCAATCAAATCTAAATATAAGACTGTCTTTAATTGTCTTCCTACTGCTGTTGATGTAAACATGCCTCTCTCAGTGGCAGACAGCGACCAACAAATGATGGACTAGATTTACCAAAGACTGCTGAGCTGCTGCCCTCTGCTGGAACATAGTAATGATTACACAAAGATGGATGAATGAATGCGGATAATAAACTAAGCAGACCAGACCAAGGTGCATTAGTGCCTATGGGAGAGCCACCCCTTAAGCAGACCGGAAAGTGACCATTGTTTTCAATGGTAAATGGCCTGAGTGGTACATCTGTGTTTATCCACCATCTTTGGTCTAGTCTCGAAAATCACAGCTAGGGCAACATGTATGTCGGAACCATAGATATATATATATATAAAAATGTATGCACTCACTACTGTAAGTCGCTCTGGATACATTACAAAAATGTAAATGTAAGATGTTGTATCTGTGCCATTATGGTGTCTGTGACAGCATGGGCAGCGCCATTGTGGCTATCTTCATTTTAAAGTAGTACATTTTCTTCTTCTTTGTATGTTTGAAAAAAGTTTAAAGCTAATATTGATGATTCACAGCCACCTAGAGTGCTGAAGTCTTGAACCAAATCTTGTGTCATTCATTTATTTATTGTGGCCACTAGATGGCGGTGATAGAGCTTAAAGCCATTTACAAACTAGGCCAACCAATTTGAAGAAGAATACAATGCTCTGATCATTGGCTGATCACGTCCCAACCCATAGGAATCCCCACCCAGTTGACTACTTTAAAATGGTGGAAGCCCTCAATGGCAATGTCCATGCAAAAACAGGTTATTTCCAAGTAATGATCTCTATACATCTTTATGGAGAAGCCACATCCCTGATTGGCAGATGGC